GTGAGAGGACAGTGCCCTGAGGGGCCCCAGTATTGCAGATCACCACCTCAGACTTACAGTTGTGCAGCCGCACGTACTGCGAACGGTCCGAGAGGTAGTCGATGGTCCATGCAGTGAGGTTACTGCAGCAAGTAGATGACAGCGTCCTCTACTCCGATGTTGGGCCTGCAGGCGAACTCCAGGGGGTCTAGGGTGGGGCTGACCACGGAGCAGAGATGGGTGAGGATGAGCCACTCCATGGTTTTTCATCAGGTGGGAGGTCAGAGCGACTGGTCTGTTCCTTGGCGCTGTTTTCGGAACCGGGATCACAGGTCTACCACAGGACAGGGACATCTCCAGGCTGAGGCTTAGGTTGTAGATGTAGCTGAGGACATCAGAGAGCTGGTCTGCACAGGTCCTCAGCAGCCTGGGACTGATCCCGTCCGGTCCTGTGGATTTCCTCTGCTTCAGTCGCTTGAGCTCACTCCTCACCTGGTCCAGTGTGATGGAGAGGGGGTAGTGGGGGTATACTGTCAGAGGTGGGCCTTAAAGGCAGTGTCCACTGGGCTGGAGACGTGTGAAGAGGTGGGGGCGGGAAGGGAGCGGATGAAGAAGGGGTTGAATCAAACCAGTTGAAATATTGGTTACATTCATCCCTGCGCCAGCTTCTGTTCCAGCTTTTCCCCATAGACCTTCTTGGCCCTCCTGATCGTCCACTGGAGCTCGTGCTGGATCCTCTTCTGCTCCTCTTTGTCCCCTGAGATGAAAGCCCTTTTCTTGAGGTTCAGGAGGGCTTAAAGCTCAGGGGTCACACACTGTAACAGACAGTCTGAGCTGGATTCCTTCTCACCATGGGTGTGTATTCCGGAGATAGACATACCAAAGAGGGATCTGAGCGCCAAAGCAGAGGGAGGGGGGAGGAGGTGTATGCGTCTCGGACATTAGCATATAGTAAGTCCAGAGTCTGAAGCCCTGTTTATACTGAGTCGCTGCGCAGACGTTTCCAGGCTATTAACAGAAACGACCAGGCCCCTAATGCAAATTTCTCAGCGTTCACATGAGGTTGAAATACGATGTAGTTCTAGCGCCCGGCCAGTAGTGGGCAGAAAAACTTTACAACACTCACACGACCCCCAGCCCCATGCCCAGCCCCCCTCCCGGCAGTATACTCACTTCCTGTGCCAGACACTCAGAAAGTACCAACATCATTCTGCATTTTAACAGCAGCTGTGAACATGGGAACTGAACCTAGAGCTTCGTGTGGTCTCGTTTGGACGAACGAAGGTGTAGAATTATCCTCTGTCCCGCGCTGGAAGCCCACGAAGCTAGTTAGTGTGCGCAGCGCCATTGTTGTTTTTGTTTGTTCTCCGCTACTGCGCATGTCCAAATTTACGTACGGGGAGCAGCGCGGAGGTGAGGGTCAGAGCAGAGGGGGATTTCACACCTTTTCCCCTCTCGCGGGTGTGAAAGAACTCCCCGCTGTGCAACGTATCTGAGGCTGAGTTTACACGGAGACAATGTGGCAGTAAAACGGTATAGTTGGATGTCGGTTGCTACCAACCGTTCATACGAAGACTGTGTTTCAGGGGGGTGAAAACGTAAGTGTTAAGATCCAGCCTGCAGAGTGGGACAACTCAGATACGCTGCACAGCGGGGGCTCTCTTTCACACCCGCGAGAGGGGAAAAGGTGTGAAATCCCCCTCTGCTCTGACCCCTACCTCCCCGCTGCTCCCCGCACGTAAATTTGGACATGCGCAGTAGCGGAGAACAAAAATAAACAATAATGGCGGCCGGTAAACTAACTAGCTTCGTGGGATTCCAGCGCGGGACAGAGGATAATTCTACACCTTCGTTCGTCCAAACGAGACCACGCGAAGCTCTAGGTTTAGTTTCCATTTTCACAGCTGCTGTTAAAATGCAGAATGATGCTGGTGCGTCCTGAGGGTCTGGCACAGGAAGTGAGTACACTGCCGAGGGGGGGGCTGGGCACGGGGCTGGGGGTCGTGTGAGTGTTGTAAAGTTTCTCTGCCCACTACTGGCCGGGCGCTAGAACTACATCGTTTTTCAACCTCATGTGAACACTGAGAAATTTGCATTAGGAGCCAGGTCGTTTCTGTTAATAGCCTGGAAACGTCTGCGCAGCGTCTCAGTATAAACAGGGCCTGAGTTGTCCCACTCTGCAGGCTGGATCTGAATACTTACGTTTTGACCCCCCCAGAACACAGTCTTCGTATGAACGGTTGGTAGCAACCCACATCCAACTATACCGTTTTACTGCCACATTGTCTCCGTGTAAACTGAGCCTTATTCTCCCGAATGAGGCACGCGACGTACTGCCTGAATGTTGGGAGAGTAGCGGAGAGGGAGGCGTGATTAAAGTCTCCAGTGATCAGTATGAAAGCAAGGGGCTACAGGTCTGGATCTGGGTCACGGTGCTGTGGATGCGCTCACAAGCAGCAGTGTCAGCTTATGGAGGGATGTACACACACAGAACCACGGTGATTGGAAACTCCCGCGGCAAATATCTGGGCCTCATATTCACAGCGAGCAGTTCCAGATCCCAGGTGCAGATCCGTTTAGTCAAGTATACATGAGCCGGGTTACACCGGTCCTTATTCACGTATACCGCGACTCCCCGCCCTTCTTTCCGCTCCCCTCCACACTCCAGTCTGAGCGCTCAAGTTTAAATCCCTCCAGAGAGACCACAGAGTCTGGGACATTCTCATACAGCCACGTCTCATGGCGCGTTCAGACCGGATTGTGCGTTGCGTCGGGTTTCAATACAAAGTCTATGGTGACGCGCGTTGCAGCGTCACACAACGCACGGACCTCTCGGCACGCACGGACGGACTGTTCTGTAGACACGCACGGACTTGGTGGGAAAGTCAAAGGGGAGGAGCAGGAGCAAAAAATCGACGCCCACAGGAGATGGATTCTGCTTATCCTTTCCTTGGGACGTTCGTGCGACAACCAATCAGAGAGCCGCAAAGTGGTCACAGGGGACATTAGCGGACTGAGCGAGCAGACTGAACATACTCGTAAACAGCCAAAACAGGACCCACACCAGGCTTCACCAGAACTCAAACCAGGGTTGACAATGGGGGACTGTGTGCTTGTGAAAATATGCGTTGTCATGCTCCCTTGACCTTATGCAACTGCTTCGAGTGTGTTCGCCGATGCGGAAATACCGTTGAATAATATGAAAATACGTTTGGCGCACCACCGTGAATACATACTACTGTTATATGAAGCCCGTGGAAAGTCTCTGTTCAAAGACACGCTGCAAAGCTGCATATTGGAGAAGATCTGTACACAAGAAGCCGCTAGCATAGCTCTGTTAGCATTAGAGCCGGCCGGCTACTTCCGGTACTTCCGGCTCACGTCAAGACGCTCCGGTGTGAAGTCCTCTGCGTCTGAAAACTAGAGAATGCGCGTCTGGTGAGCGGGGCTTCAGTGTTTCCAGTCTGAAAGCACCATCAGAGAAACACATGAGTCCACACTGTGTGTATTCCATCTGATGGTGGGCCAAAGCCATCAGCTCCTTGATCTTGATGTAAATGGACCGTATGTTTCCCATGATGATGGAGGGGAGGTACGGTCTCCTCTTCTTCCTGTGGCCACCTCTGGAGTCTCTGCATCTCCTGCGTATCTCCACGGGGATCACCGGCTTCTCAGAGTGCAGGAAAGCGGAGTCTGTTAGTCCGAGAAGCTGCTCCCGGGTGTAAACAATGGGAAATGTGGGACATGTGGCGCTGTGCGGAAGAATCCAAAAGTGCCGAAAACATCATAATCCATCCATCTATTTTCTACCCCTTTATTCATTTCTGGGTAGGGGGGATGGCAATCAGAGATGCCACCCAGTACACATGACACCGACCCCTCACTGATCCTCCTGCTGGTGGTGAGTCCACAGGAGGAGAAAACATGATAAATCCAGTAAAAAGTTCGACCAGACTAGGCTTCCTGTGTGTTATAGTGTAATGCCTATTTTTAAAAAAAAACATAATTAAAAACCACATCTACAAGAAACAAAAAAAGAGAAAAAGGTCGGAAAGAGGAGAGAGCCGAATTGACTAGCTGCACAGTGGGGGCTGGCGCCTTTCGAGCTTGACGCAGGGTGCCAACCAATCAAGAGACAGATCAAGTGACGCAATTCACGTACATGATGAATTTGGGACAGGAAGTAAATCTCACCATTAAGAACAATGTAAAAATTCACTGATTCAGAGTCAAAATGTTCTTTTTCTGTGGAGTGTCCAGTTGTGGCAACTGTTCATATCAAGCGGAGAACTTTAACTACATTTTCTGCTGCTTGGCCACTAACATTTTAAGGAATGTGAAGAGCCTGGCACTGGACTGGTCCAGGACCGGTTTTGGTTCTGAGCCGAGTCAGCTCATTTTTATAACAGAGCAGAGCCAGTGCTGGTTACCATAGCAAAACACTGTTTACTTGACAGCAGTTAGCATTAGCCTTTCAACAAACAGTTTTTTTGTAATTCAGATATATTCACCAGTTTTAGCATTTATTGAAGGTAAAACCATACACATTACTTAATTTTAAAAAAACTAATTAAAAACCCAAACTATTTTACGGAGTTTCAGATATGCTACCATTGCAGATACACAAGCATAGATTTGCTGCTTCTTCTATACTTCTATAACAACTAGAGTATTTATAAATTATTTTGTAATAACAAATAATGCTCTTACACAGTATAACAAATGAGAATTGTCTGCAGTTTTGCACTGAAGCTTACAATAATATAGTCACACTATAAGCTTATTTTTGGATTAGCTTTTTCAGAATAGTGAAACAAAGAGGACTGCCCTCATTCAGCCAATCAGCTCTCAGCCTAAAGTGTCAAATAGTGACTCACTGAGTATGAAAAGGATAACATGTTTTCTAATAAGATAGTTTAGGTAACCCAGCTTTACAGTTTGAATTAAAGTGTTCCTTCAGTTTGCCATTTCTTGTGTTTTAGTCAGTGTGTCAAACTGAGTTCTCAAAAACGCGTACATACCTGACTTGTGGGGTCTCCCAGAAGGTTACATATATGAGGAACTATTTTACTAAGAGTCAGACCCTGGGCTCCGTATCTGAAAGAAACAACAGACAGGACAAGGATTAGTGTTATATTTTAGGCTTTTTATTTTAGGCTTCAGTGGTTGTGTGAAGCCTCATATTGTGATATTAACATGTTTTTATTTTCAAATTATTCTATGCCAACAAAAAGTTGTCAATAGCGTGTATTTCCCCTTTAACATCTCAGACAGTTTGGAGTCTTTGGATTGGGTTCTTTCTCCTCTCTGATGGTAAAGCTGCCCATTCTTCATGGCAAACAGCCTCAAGTTCATGTAAATTCCTGGGCAGACTTGCATGCACTTTTTAGATAGTTTGATGGAAAAACATAAATATACATACATATATATAAAAAATAAATACACAGCCTCCAGTGACAAGTGACAAAACAAGATTTTGTGCCATCATTCATGATCTTTAATATATGGAAAAAACGATGAAACCTTTGGCAGGGTGGATAAACTTGATACAGTCTATGCTGAAAGCATAGAGTGTATACAGTAGATGGACAATGCTAACCCACTATCTCAATCAAACACAATAGGGAATAGATCATGTTCAAAGGTTTGGCTTTGACTTCTATTGACTTACACTGAAAATTAAACTCCTCTAGCTCAGTAACCGTTTTTGTTACACACCATTTTTGGGCTTAAAAAAATCAGTGGTTGGAGCTCTCCATGATCCTGGTGTTTATCTTGTGATATTGTCTTTGTAAATCCAGATATGAAAAAACAGAAAAAAATCTGCACGGCTATGTTGCTCCCAAGAATATTTTATTTACATACCACGAGCCCGAAACGTCACAATCGTGGTATGTAAATAAAATATTCTTGGGAGCAACATAGCTGTGTAGATTTACTAAATGTTTCCTATTTTTAACCTTTTTTTGAATCAAGCACGCTAGTTCAGGCTACTGGGTCTTATTTGAAACCTTCTTAAATCCAGATATGAGCCATAAAGATGGACCCATCAGATGACTTAATTTGTGAGGAAAACTCCAGCTTTCATTAGCAACCACGTTAGCAACACGTTTGCCTCTGTCACGGCGCAAAGCTAACTCCGTATTTGGCTCCAGCAAGCTTGTGTTCAAATCAGCTTCTTCCACATTAAGGCTAGTGACAGTACTCACGTGTTCAGTGTAGCGATTAGACAAAGGCACACTCCTTCTCTGGTCCTGTTGTTCTTGTGTTTAAAACCTCCCAGTATTCGGTCCCATACATACTGTAACGCAATAGGAAAAGGCATTCAACCAGTTTTTATCTACATTCTACTTTCCACTAGTCTCCATGGAATTGTAACAAAGAAAGGGGTAATACCTGAGGTGTTGCGGCTTGTTCCATTATTTTTAGCAGCAGTGTTTGATCCTGATCCCGGACTTGGTCTTTGGCATCTCCCAATCGATCAATAAGGCTGGGGAGGACTGCAAAAGAAAAAGATTTTGGATTACTTGTCGCGAACGATTAAACTCTCTCTTGTTTCCAGCCCACAGATTTTTATAATAGCTAAAAATTTCAGAAATTGTGAAGGTAAGGTGGAGATTAATTTAACAAAATAGCAGTGCATTTTTCTATTGTGGTTTTAAATGTAAACACAACTGACTGACTATAGAGCTACATGTAGCTTGTGCGACTTACGAGGATCGAATGCTTACACACAAGCCTTATAAACTTGCCAAAAGCTGTTAATAAAATTAATTAATTATTTAATGACCCTGGACTCCTTTCTCTTTTTAATTTCCATTCCCTTTAAAGCATGCTTTAAAGAAAAAAATGTTTTAATAATAACAATATTATAATTACAACGAATAACAAAAATATGTATTAGTAGCAATACTACTAATAATAATAATTATTATTATTATTATCAGTAGTAGTATTGCTTTTTAAACTGTATTAATTAATTGAGTATATTCATATAATTTATTTGTTTCTATCATGTTTTTTATTGGATATTTGCACTGTCTTTTGGAAAATGTATTTGTAGTATATTTCTCATATCCATTCTATGCTAAATGTGTGTCTATTTACTTCTATTTTTCTCAAATACAGATTTTTTTGTTATACATATATATATGTATAACACATTTTTTTATATATATATATATATCAAAGATTACCTGTTCCTAAGTGGGCCCTGAAGCGCTCCTGTAATCTGGTCACTAAGGCAGAGAGCAGATCCAGGCCAAGCAGCGCCACCTGGTGGACACACATAGAAGTGCAAATCAGTCATACATTTTCTACAAGGAAATAAGAATCTGAAAACATCATACACATACATTTCGAAAGAAAACATGCTTTAAAACGCGGGGTTCCATCATCAGAAACAATCAGAGTGAACACGTGTTAATGATAGCACAGATTTGTATATGAGTTTGCAAAGGATTCTGGGTAGATGGCGTAATTTCTCATTTCAAGCAGTTTACACCCAGAATATGTTAAACAAACGCATGAAGCATCCGCAGTGGCGCAGCGTGTCTCGTTTGGAGACATAACTATTCAATGTGTGCGTCTGAACCAGGATCAAGTGTCATTCTGCCCGCACCACGAGCGAGGTCCACAACCCACAGGACTGATACAAATCCGGAAATGCGCATTGACATCTTTCCTTGTCTGGGGGTGAGAGAGCTACTCAATGAACGCGTAGTGAGGGTAGCCCTGCTGACACCATACCAACACTCCGCATCATCTGATCTACGGATCAGATCTGGTGCAATTTTTGGAAAACCTACAAAAAAGTAGGAATACATCGAACAATACAACACATTAGCGACATCTGCCGGACGTACACGGTATGAATGAGCATTAACAAAGATGGCACCATGGGGTACGTTGCCGACTCTCGTGTTCAAACTAATTGCTCCACAAATCTAGATAGTAATAATTTACAATAGCAGTCGCCCCTCGGACTATCATTGATGCAATTTTGAATAATTATATTGTCCACTGTCATTTAACTATCCCCATAACCCCATGCTGCCAACATATAACCTAAATCAGTGTCTCCCAAAGTGGGGTCCGCGGCCCCCTGGTGGGCCGCGAGGGTACTGCAGGGGGGCCGCGGGAGGTCATAAAAAAAAATAAAAAATAAATATAATTATTTAATGTTAAATTTATAATGTTTTGTTTGTAATATTAAAATATTTGTGTTAATTATTTGACTTGAATAATCCACTGTAATCATTTTTGTATTACAATGTTTGTAGCAGAGGCTATTTCCCCAAAATAAAATAACCAGAAGAACCTATTCTTAATGTTGTCTTCTTGGTTATTATTTTGGGGGGCCACGCAGACCCGTCAGATTTTTAAGGGGGCCTCGGTGTTACTGAGTTTGGGAATGGCTGACCTAAATATTCCTTGCAGTAGAATTTACAGATATTTATACTTTCTTCTTTATTATGCTAAAGTTAGATATTGTATTTATAACTATTAAAGATACAGTTATTGCTCATTTATCTTGTACTCCTCATATTGTTCCGTAACTGGTGATAAAACATTGACATTTCTTTCAGTTAATCGTAATTATTCATGTACAAAAATAACTAGAATAGACTGCAAGGTAAGTTTAATAGAAAGAAAAGCATTAAAAAATACAAAAACAATTAAAACAATTGTCATATTAAAAGAAGAGCTGATCTAAGCTTTCATTTGGTGCTTGTAACCTTATGAATGATCTTTGACCCATGCCTCTTTGCCACTCACGTCTCTGTCAATACTCAGAAGCAGTGTTGACTACAGTGTAGAACCCGGGTTAGGGCCGATCAAGTTATGAAAAGTAACTTAATTTCAGCCTGAAGAAAAACAATTCATGGTATTTTTTCTACTTTTAATCATTGTGACGAGTCATTTTGCTGATATACCTTTGTTTGTCCCACAGTGAGGACAGTTCAGTGTTGCATCCCAAGTCACAGAACAGTAGGAATGAGGAATACACAACACAAGAGAGGTGAATATTATTAATTTCGAGAATAGCACACCTCTATACTCTGTACTTTTAAAATGAACATACACATGAGTAAGATAAGATAAGATAGACTTTATTGATCTCACACAGGAAAAATTTACATGTCACATCTGGCATGCATAGACTCACTCAAGATTGTGCAAAAGAAAGGAATATGCAAAAGAAAGAAATGAGTAGAAACTAGAAAGTCAATAAAACCGTAGTCCCTTTAATTTAAGCCACAACTTTGGCCACATTCCAACTGCAGTCACTATGTTCTTGGACGGGTCTCGTGGATGATTTTCTCATCTTGGTAACACTTTACATTACGGGCCGGTAAGTCCATGGTACTTACAGTGGTACTTCTAGGTACTTACAGTGGTACTTCTAGGTACTTACAGTGGTACTTACGGTGATACTTACGGTGGTACTTACGGTGGTACTTACAGTGGTACTTACAGTGGTACTTACAGTGGTACTTCTCGGTACTTACAGTGGTACTTCTAGGTACTTACGGTGGTACTTACAGTGGTACTTCTAGGTACTTACGGTGGTACTTACGGTGGTACTTACAGTGGTACTTACGGTGGTACTTACGGTGGTACTTACGGTGGTACTTACGGTGGTACTTACAGGGGTACTTACGGTGGTACTTACGGTGGTACTTACGGTGGTACTTACAGTGGTACTTACAGTGGTACTTACAGTGGTACTTACAGTGGTACTTCTAGGTACTTACAGTGGTACTTCTAGGTACTTATTGTGGTACTTACAGTGGTACTTCTAGGTACTTACAGTGGTACTTAGAGGTACTTATTGTGGTACTTACAGTGGTACTTCTAGGTACTTATTGTGATAATTCTAGATACAGCTGTAACTTAGTAATTCAAGGACACTACAGTATTATTCCTATGTAGTAAATGTGGTACTTCTACATACATACATACATAGGTCATTTGTAGGATTGTTTGACTATAAAACAGCAAGTACCAGCAAGTACCTGGTACTTACTGGTAAGTACCAGGTACTTGCTGGTAAGTACCTGGTACTTGCTGGTAAGTACCTGGTACTTGCTGTTAAGTACCTGGTACTTGGCTGGTAAGTACCTGGTACCTTGCTGGTAAGTACCTGGTACTTGCTGGTAAGTACATGGTACTTGCTGGTAAGTACATGGTATACTATATAATTACTGGTATCACTAGTACTTATGGGTAAGTCCTTTGTCTTATTATGGGCCAGTTCCTATGGTAAGTACCTGGTACTTACTATATAATTACTGGTGTTATCACTGGTACTTATGTTAAAGTCCTTTGTCTTATTATGGGCCAGTCCCTATGGTAAGTACCTGGTACTTACTGTATAATTACTGGTGTTATCACTGGTACTTATGTTAAAGTCCTTTGTCTTATTATGGGCCAGTCCCTATGGTAAGTACCTGGTACTTGCTGGTAAGTACATGGTACTTGCTGGTAAGTACATGGTATACTATATAATTACTGGTATCACTAGTACTTATGGGTAAGTCCTTTGTCTTATTATGGGCCAGTTCCTATGGTAAGTACCTGGTACTTACTATATAATTACTGGTGTTATCACTGGTACTTATGTTAAAGTCCTTTGTCTTATTATGGGCCAGTCCCTATGGTAAGTACCTGGTACTTACTGTATAATTACTGGTGTTATCACTGGTACTTATGTTAAAGTCCTTTGTCTTATTATGGGCCAGTCTCTATGGTAAGTACCTGGTACTTGCTGTTAAGTACCTGGTACTTGCTGTTAAGTACCTGGTACTTGCTGGTAAGTACCTGGTACTTGCTGGTAAGTACCTGGTACTTGGCTGGTAAGTACCTGGTAATGTGTAATTCTTGTTACTTGGGTTGGGTACCTAGTTCTTGCAGTGTTTCCCTTGTCCTTGAAACTTGTTTTGAAATATGCATTAAATGTATTTATACTGTCCTTTCTGTGCTACTTATTCCATATTAATAAAGACGTTTGTTTTACATAATGTTGTTTTATGTTTTATAGTCAAACAATCCTACAAATGACCTCTGTATGTATGTATGTAGAAGTACCACATTTACTACATAGGAATAATACTGTAGTGTCCTTGAATTACTAAGTTACAGCTGTATCTAGAATTATCACAATAAGTACCTCTAAGTACCACTGTAAGTACCTAGAAGTACCACTGTAAGTACCACAATAAGTACCTAGAAGTACCACTAGAAGTACCACTGTAAGTACCTAGAAGTACCTACCAGAAGTACCACTGTAAGTACCACTGTAAGTACCACTGTAAGTACCACTGTAAGTACCACCGTAAGTACCACCGTAAGTACCACCGTAAGTACCACCGTAAGTACCACCGTAAGTACCACCGTAAGTACCCCTGTAAGTACCACCGTAAGTACCACCGTAAGTACCACCGTAAGTACCACCGTAAGTACCACCGTAAGTACCACCGTAAGTACCACCGTAAGTACCTAGAAGTACCACTGTAAGTACCACTGTAAGTACCTAGAAGTACCACTGTAAGTACCACTGTAAGTACCTAGAAGTACCACTGTAAGTACCACTGTAAGTACCTAGAAGTACCACTGTAAGTACCACTGTAAGTACCACCGTAAGTACCACCGTAAGTACCACCGTAAGTACCACTGTAAGTACCTAGAAGTACCACTGTAAGTACCTAGAAGTACCACTGTAAGTACCATGGACTTACCGGCCCGTAATGTAAAGTGTTACCCTCATCTTTTGTTCTCAGAGGGATTAAAGTCATTAGTGAGACGACCGACTCAACACAGTCGAACATGAAAAACTATTGAACAAAATAGATTTCAACGTAAGCTCAATGTAAATTTCAGTGAGAGATCAATCAAATTTATATTCACATGTTAAGCACCTGTCATAACACTTTAAGGTTTAAAATTCAATATAAATATAATATATTATTATACGGCTCTTCACAGCAGCAGTAGAATGCTCCATTGATTTGAATGTAATTTCAAAACGTTCTACCTGTCATTATTTTCTATAACGGACCTCTCAAAACAATAATGACCGCTGCCCATGGCAACGCACTCTCTGTGGGGTGTCCTTTGGGGGGTCTTCCGGGAGTATGGGGTCCGGGGTCCTCTGCTGAGGGCCATTTGGTCCCTGTATGACCAAACGGGCAGTAAGTCAGACCTGTTCCCGGTGCATGTTGGCCTCCGCCAGGGCTGCCCTTTGTCACCGTTTCTGTTCACGGAATTCATGG